TATCTGGATATCAAGGAGCGGTAACCAGCTCTCCCTTTCCCATGTGAACTATCTGATCTAGCCGGTTGCTAAGGATGTCAAACCATATGTCTATCTCTTCTCGAGTGGAACATATTGTATGATTAGGCAGTCATCAATATAGCGACTATAGAGAGCTGGTGCGCGGTCTAAGATAGGTTTACCAATTTTTGACATGTATGCTATTGCTAGTACGGGTGCCAGATGTTTTCCCATAGCCAAACCCCTCACTTGTTTATAGTAGTCATCCGACCACCTGAAAAACGAGCCTATTTGTGTACAAAGATGTAACGTAGAATGATTCGATCACAACATTCCCTTGAAGATCTACGTTCAACGGTTTCTCCGAGGAGCATATTCGTATTAGTCAGGTGGGCGGGTACGCACGGAAGGATATGTAGTATTATAAGACTCAGAAACCATGAAATTTTACCAATGGGTTTCCCGACACTGCTGTTAATGGGTCTAACCTTGAACATTGTGGGGTCATTGGAGCTCAGGTCTGCAGCGGAAGCTTATGGGTCTTGATAAGGGTATATAGGACAAGGCACAGAGGCAGACCTTTCTTCAGGCGATTTATCGTGAGGCTCAGCAAACCTGCGACTTCCGCCACGCAACATCAGTCCTTGTTCAGTTTCTGTACTGTTAGATATACACTTTCTTCGTAGATCTGCAATATAATGTTGTGTACTGTAGATGTAGATGTGTTATAGCATTATCAGGAACTTGTGGGTAACCATGAATTCTCCCTCCCCTTTATCGCTGACAGACAAGCGTATCTCCCCGGCTTCTGTTCGCTTCCGTAATTCTTTGACGCCTTGCCTTTATGAAGGTGGTAGGTTGACGCCAGGAAGTCTGTCGGGGAACTGCCGTACCACTCTGTAGAAGGATGTAGTTAGAAGACGATATTTGGTGGCTCGTGGTTTTCAATATGCGCAAGGAGAAGGGTAGAGCTGGAAAGGAAAAACTCTGTTTGCCTGTTCTCTATAGCCCGCCTCCCGCATCTGCTGTTGGCTTTACATCTGAGGGTCCTGAAGGGTCAGCAGGTTGCCCACTATCTTAAGTGTAACGCGAGAGGGAGGGCTGGTGCGAAGCAAGGACCTGATAGCAATAGTGTTAGTAGTAGTAGTATTCCAACAACGATAGCGCTTCTTCAGTGAGGGTGATGCCTCGTGGAACCGTGACTCGAGAGCCTTCACGGGCCTACAAACAGACAAACCGACAGACACACAAAGCGACAAACCGATAAACCTACGAACCGATACACCAAGTTACTGCTTCACAAATAAAAGAGATGATTGTGGAAACGGATATTAAGAGGATCATGGTTGATCATGGGGGCGCTATTTACGTACAACTCCAATTCTTCAAATGTTCTTCGCACATCCGCTCAATCTCCTGTAAGGTGAGCTCTCTTCATTAGTTTGCTACTGGCCTCTTTGGAAGTCTCAGTGAAGTAATATCCTCTTTATATATAAACCGCTAACTTTGTGTGTCCGTTTGTATGTCCGTTTGTGTTTCCTCGCAAAAGTCACGTAGGCACAATCAAGAGCGTGGAGATCAAATGAGCGCAGAGAGAAAACAGCTATGAAATGGGAACTTAACCGATGCTCTTCGTATGACGCCACAGACTAAAAATCAGAACTCGCCTCCTATGACGCAGGACAATCAAACCCCTAGGTTCTAGAGAAGCTCAGAATGGAAACAATTCCACGACCACCTATTAGTGTCAAGAGATCAATACCCACAAAGCGGTTCAAATTGGGGAAGTCACCTAATTCTTATACATCAAACGTCCTCCTGACCATTTACTGTCGTGCTGAATACTTATACTATGAACGACTCAACTATCGGTTCGCAGCCAACTGGGGGAGAAGAGAGGTTAGGCTTCGTGGCCAAAAACCCATTTTGCTCACAAAGAATTTTTACCGAAAGTACCTTTGCATTTGATCTGTTTTCCAGAATAGACGCGTACTTTTCCGTAGAACCATAATCGGAAATCCATAGAAATCACTAGAAATCTAAACTTATCGAATTTTCTAATTTTTAATGTGAATTTCGCTTACGCACTCCAGAAAACTATCCACTTCATGATACTTCAGTAGTTTGGGATGGGTTGGGGAGAGGCAAGACCAAAAGAACACATTTGAGCTCAGCAAAACTCCTCCTTTAAGGGTGGGACGTGCGCAGGATTGGGTGATGTCATGGGCAAAACGTCTTGAGTAAGTTTCTGACAGCCCAGACACCGAGAAAAAATTGTCAAAGTAGAGGGACAGGTCAACGGCGGAGCGTTCTTGCACTGGGCGGTACTTTCCCCACAGGTTCATAACTCCATTCAAAGAGGGCGCGGAGGCTAGAAAAAATGATAGAAGGAGTGAGCAGGGCCTTTGCTGGGCATGCGTGCATAGCAAAGCTCCGCCCACCATAGGAGGGGGGCATGCGTTGAAGTGTTAGGTCCTTTTTGAGAAAGCTTATTGTGAATAGAAAGAATCTATTCAAAAACGTACTATAATGTGGAAAGTGAGTGGTTAGAGGCTATAGAAGGAATGCGGCCAGAACCCTGAAGTAAGGGGGTTTGCCCCAAGGGGGAGGGGGTGGGAGGTGGCGAGGCCAAAATCAAATATTTATGAGCCTATTCAAAAACGTCCTAGAAAGCGGAAAAGAAGTGGCTGGAGGTATCAGAGGGAAGATGCCTAATTCCTGGAGTGGACGGGGTTAGCCAGCTGGAGATGACGATGTTATGTTATGGGCAACCCTTGATGGCATGGAGCATTCCCTAACCAAGCACTATCCGAAAAAGCAAGCTTCACTCTTTTCAGATCGGACAGTACTCTCTGAAANTGCTTCCTATTCATTTCAAAGAAGGTGGTATCCGAGTAAATTAGCGTCCTCATAACACCAGTGAGGTTATGATCAGGCCGGAGGCCCTAGATAGGTATGCTTCCTAAGCCGATTTTCTGTATCATCCCCTGACCAAGCACTATCCGAGGAAGTCATCATTAGAATGAAACAGTTTCATTTATATTCATTGAAAGGAAATCCCAGATTGTTTGTACCAATCTTTGTCCCTATTACATAAGAAGGAGGATGCCCGGCTACGCCGGGCATTACATGAGAAGGAGGAGAGCCCGGCGTTAGCTGAGCGATCCGACTGGTTGGTTTTATATATTGGGAACTTTATCATCATCATTATTATTATCATTATTATTATTACACAGTTTAAAATCCCACTTTATATAATTCGCTAAGTGTGTCTGTTGATGTGTCGGTGTGTTTGTGTGTTTGTGTGTGTGTCGGTGTGTGTGTCTGACCGGACATTCATAACTCCTGTCCCAGTGGACCAGGAGCGTTCAAATTTGGTAGGAGTAAGGGGGGGGGACAGTATGGGATCACCTTTGGTAAGTGGCAGGACCGATCTCCGTTCATAAGGGGCGAGGCGTGCACGATAAAATATTTGAATCGCAAATTCATAACTCCTGTTTACGTGGACCTAGGGCGTTGAAGTTTGGTAGAATTACACTTCTCGTACTAACAGTGGAACCTCAGCATTTTGGTAAGTGATGTAGGATTTTACGGGATTGTAGGCATTCGGTGACAAGAACTGATCATAAGTGATAAGAGAAGATAAGGGACCTAAGAGAGGTCACCTATGTACCGACCAAAATTATAACATTTTCGGTATCTGCGATGTAGCTTTGACCAATTAGTAGGTTTCATTCGATAAGACGGAATGTTAGAGTAGGGTGACAAAAGTGAGGTAAGTGCAGCGATAGGGACCCATTGGGGCACTACGATAAGCAGATTAGAACTTTGTTCATTCTTTTCTGTTAGATTACGACCGCTACCCAGCAAGGTTTGTGGTTCAATGAAGGTTCTCTTTGCTTGATATCATCTGCGACAAAACTTAATCGACCGCCTGTTATCTGGAATTCTCAACTAATGATATCTCCGTAAAGAAAAGGGTCTATTGATAAAGATCATCTGTTAACGGTGCTATCATCACTCAGAACATCATCTTTGACATTGTCTAACAGTTGGATTTTTAAGGGTATTTATTTCTAAGAAAGACGGCAAAAGCTCGAGACATCCACTTAAAGGTGTAAGCACCGGCTTTAACTGTATACCATTTGCACTGCCCTATTGGTCCTGTATCAAATTTCGTGTACAGGAAGCTGTCATTTGTTTCCAAAAAGGGGTGGAGAGTTAGACTTACTACAACTTTGTCAAAGAAGGCTCTGCCTCACTTTCATACTCTCACTCAGCTAAACAGCGGAAAAAACTCAAACTAAGTTAAATAGCGAAAAAAACTTAAATCTGTAAACTTTGAAAAAGGGGAAAAAATTCTTCAGTTCAACATTTCTCGGGATAAGGTGTTCGACATAAGGAGGAGAGCCTGGCATTAACCGGGCGATCCGACCGGTAATACATATGTAGTATCTTCGGATCTCCTTCACTGAAGGTTCTCTCTCTGAAGTATCCACAGCCGGTCAGTGACGAGGCTGCGTAGGGCGTCCCTAAGTGGCGGATAGGGGAATTAATCTTCGATCAAAGGTCACCGGTACTTGCACAGAGACGAAGGTAGATCAGGAGAGGGACTCCTTGATTCTACTTTGCCGGTCGATATGCCTTCTGTTTCCCGCACGTGTATCCACGCATACGTGTGTGGAAAGTCTGTGGGTGCAGTTGGTATCCTGACCATGGACTCGGCCAAAAGCTTGCATTCGAGTGACTGGGAAGTATCTGGGAGGTGGTTTGCGGCCGCCTCTGAAAACAAAGCCCCTCGTCCAATCCCCCACGTCAGAGCCTGGCAATGGGAATTCACACGACAAAAACAGTAATAAAAGTGGGCCTCATGTCCCTGAACCTGATGGAGCCCTCAGTACGGCAGCGTTGGGTAGGGCAACTCGAGAGAGTCTGCTAAAATCTCAAGGCCAAAACAGGCTGCAGGACTAAGATGGCGATCTGTACTTTCAACGCACCGTATGCTTGCATTGGAAGGGTGTATAGATGACCTGATGATGCGAGCCTAGGAAGATCAATTACGACGTCATCGAACTGGCCGAGACGGAAGGTATAGCTCGCTGCACGCTGCATTTGAGACCGGAAGAACTGCTTCTTGGAACATGCGACAGCAGAGCGGCACAGGTGTCCTCGTCAATCGTCGTCACTTGGTCGTGAACATCGATTCGTACGAAAGCTTAACAACCCGAATCGGACGTTTGTGACCAAGAAGATGTGACTCAACCCAAGCTCTAACCATCTTCGTTGCCTACGCACCAACATCGAGCTACGAAGAAGAGGGGTTGGATGCGTTCTAAATGGACCTCGGAGAGGCTCTACAGGGAAGACCACACTTTCTTCAAGGTCATCGTCGGTGATTTTAGCGCCAAGATTGAACCCAGAAGCGCTCAGAAGAACGGCTGAAGAGCTTCACATCGGACTCGCGGAATGGAATGGAATGAGCAGGGTGAAAGGCTGTCCGAACTCATCATGTCAATTCACACCATCCATGGTAACTCGCAGTTCCAAAAGACCTCTTATTGGCGATGGGAGTCACCTGGGGACAGTTCCATAATGAAATGGACCACATCATCCTCAATCAGAGATTTTGCTTGACTGACGTCGTTGTTGTTCCAAAGTTCTAACGGGATCGGACCATCATCTCTTCCGCGCTAGGTTCTGCTTCTCAGTGGAGAGAGAGCTATGGAATTTAGGAAACGAGCTCCGAGCCCTCCACCAACTTGGACCACTTCGCTTCCCTTGCGAGTGAGTAGGGAGATTCCGTTATCGGCAACATCGGTGAAGAATACAACCGCCTCGTCGAACATCTTCACGGTGGCGCTAGGAAAGCAGAGAGACCACAAGTAGCCAAGAGACGGCTCTCATCGAGGACTCTCGAGCTGATACGCCAGCGTGGAATCGCGCAAGCTACAGGCATTAATCATCAAACGTCTAAACTTGCGAAACTATGCAGAGAAGCGATAAAGGAAGATCTGATAGAGTGAAGAGCAACAGTTATGGACGAAGCCGCCGAGGCCGGGAAGAGCATTCGCAAAGGCCGACGGAGCTTCGCCAATTACAAGAGCAAGATGACTTCCCTTCGTCGTCCTGATGGAACAGTTACTGCAGATGAAGGGCAATGGAGAAGGTCATCTACGACTTCTACTCGGATCTTTCAACAGCCACGTCTATCTGCCTACCCACCATCTCAGGCAAGATGAACATATCACTCCTTCAGTTCTCCCTTACGAAATTCGATTTGCCATCACGTCGATGAAGAATTGTACGGCGCTCGGTCCCGATAGGATCAAGCCAGAACATGTGAAGATCTAGCTAGGCTCTTCACGCGGTACCTGTCGGAATGCAAAGTGCCCACGTCGTGGAAAACTAGCAGGACTTTGTTGCTGTATGAAAAGGGAGATCCAGACAATATTGGAAACTATTGCCTAATCTGCCTGCTGCCTGTAATCTACAAGCTTTTCACTCGTGTCATTCAGAACAGGATTAGCAGAATATACGATGAAGGACAGCCATGCGAGCAAGCAAGGCTTCGGAGAGTGTTCAGTACAATCGATCATATCCACACCCTAACAAGGCTCATTGAAGTATCGCGAGAGTACAAAATGCCGCTATGTCTTACGTTTATCGACTTGATGAAAGCCTTGGACACCGTAGAGACATAAGCGGTAATTGAGGCCCTGGGCAACCAGGGACTCTTTCAGATATTCCTTTATCGCTTCTCTGCACAGCTCTGGGCAGCTCTGTTCCTACTCAATATGTATATTAGGTTGGAAGGAAAGTCCTGCAACAAAAAATTTGAAGCGTCAGCAATTTGTATCAACAGTGTGAACACGGTAGCAAGAATGATAAACTTGTAGGACATTCCTCAGGTCATCAACACATGAGTAAGTAAAGGCACGCGTGTGGGCTTTAGTAGCTCTACGGTCAATGAATGGACAACACCTGATTCGTACCATCACCTTCTACTAAGCATGCCAAGGGAAAAACGCGGATGCAGCGGCTCAAATTATCAGCAACCTATTCAATGCTGGCACTGCTCACCAATCAACGGTCAACAATCGGTTGGATCGCTTCACTGGAGGAAAATACCAGAAACGATTTGAAAAAGACCATTTTGTTGCAGGACTTTTCTTCTAACCTAATATAAGATGCTTCGTGAGCTCTGCGACAATTTTGCGATCAGGATCCCACCATTCTACAGGAAGTCACTATCTTCGTAAAGAGAGGTGTCCGGCAAGGGAATACCGTCCCACCTTTCAGTGCCGCTCTCAGAACATGCGCCATAAGGGATGGAAAGACTTGGAAGTGGGATGGGAAGACCATTCTATTACGAAGTCTTCGTCAACGTGAAGAGAAGAGTTCGGCAGGTACCATGTCGCCCAAACTTTTCAGTGCCGCTCTCGATAATACCATACGTCATTTGGAATGGGAAGTCTTGGGAGTGATGTTCGAGGCCGTTACCTAAATCACCCCCGCTTTGCAGACGACATTTTGCTCGTAACACCGAACATCGAGCAGGCAGAACGAATGCTGGCCGAGTTTGGCAGTGCTTGCGGAAAGATTGGCTTGAGACTAAACTTAACGAAGACGATGTTCATGAGAAACGGATTGGTACCTAATGCTCCCTTTACCTAAAACGGAACGAATTCTCAGTATGCTCTAGCTATGTGTGTCTATGTCGGGAAGTCAACATGATGAACGGCCTAGCTCCAGAGCTGTGCAGAAGGAAACGCGTCGTGTGGGGAGCATTTAAGAATATCGGGAGAGTAGTGAAGAAGAACATCCGGTTCCGTGCTCACCTTTTCGACACTGCTGTCCTTCGTGCTTTGACGTACACTGCGGAGACGTGGACTCTACGAAAGCAGGTGAGCATGCTGTCAGCGTTACTCAACGAGCTTTGGAAAGAACGATGCTCCGGATTTCCCTATGCACGCAAGTGCAGAAGGGAATCCGGAGTTCCGAGCTCCGTCATCGAACGAAGATTAGGATTGTTGTTGACTGCGCCAAGAAATCGAAGATCAGATGGTCCGGACACGTTATGCGGTATAATGATTTTCATTGAACCAGGGCGGTTACTAAGTGGATACCTCGGGACATCAAACGAACTCCAGGACGGTCGCCAACGGATGGTCAGACTTCACGAAAGCTCTGAACGAAAGGAATTTTGGACCCCATGTCCATGAAGCGAGGTCGACTCACTGGACCACTCTGGCTCGTGACAGGGACGAATGAAGACGTTTCTGGCGCCCGCTGTAGGAAGTCGACGATCAACGAGACGACAGGTAATACATATGATACATACATATGTAGTAAGGACAAGGCAGTGTATAAATTTAAGATCTTCATCATGGTAAAACAGTAACTTGGCGTATCGTGTTATAGGTTTGTCGGTTTGTCGGTTTGTGTGTTTGTCGGTTTGTCTGTCTATCCCTCCGTGAGACTTTACGATAACGTGAAAATATGAGAACTACAACTACATGTACTGAGAACTACATGAAAATGACAGAGTTATGTAACTTTATCAGTGACGTGCCTGGACACATTTTCGCAGTTTTGCTCTATTATACGCTACATGCTATGCACCGTTACATATGCAAAGTTCTCTCAGATGCTTCCCTCCCTTGCTCACCTGCCTTTCGTCAACATTTTTTCCTACTCGGGTGTGCTCCGGGTTTGAGATAGCTGTAGCTGCGCCCAGAGTTTCTGAAAATGAAGGGCTTTGGTACACAGAGCTCACAGTGCTTCCAGGCGTTGTAAATAAATGAAAGGGGCTTGGAGCTACAATACTTGAGGAAACAAAAAAGGAATGTGCAAGTTGTAGAAGGGGTGAACATGCATAAAATAGTGTGGTTCAGTGTATTCGGTGGGGTAGCTCAAAGCGGAATCCATAGAAATAAGAAAAAGCAACAGGAGCAGCTCACCTTGGTTTGTGGTCGAATGCGGAGTAGGACAAATGAGATACTGCGCTCATCCGATGACAGGCACAGTTCAGAGTAGTTTGTATTGCTTCCATCCACATGATCAAATATCTTCAAGTGACCGAAAGGAAGCGAGGGGTCGAAAACAGTGTGAAGGTTACTCTCTGTTTACTACTTTGCATGCAGGGCCTTTCCACTATACGATAAATTCATTTCCCCTTTCCTATGATTACCACAATTTCGACAACTTTCCGTGTTGCAAAATTTATGTATTGCATATTAATTTTTTGTTCTGCTTTAATTTCATTTCTCATATTTGAAATGTACCGAAGTTATCAAATCATACAATCGATACTGTTACACCTGAGCCTGGTCTGGCAGAGAGTCAATAGCCATGCAATAGGGGGGGGGGGGGGGGGGGGNGGGGGGGGGGGGGGGGTTCATCCCAAAGGCAGTGTGTGGAGATGCAGATGTGCGAACTGAGTTGATTTGCATGTAAATTGGCTCAACCGATGATCATTCCAGTACTCCTTGAACCCTTTTGTGATAGCTGTTGACCGAGAGGAAGGGTTCTATGAGGAAAAGAGCGTGAGACAGCCCATTATTCGAATCACAAAATAAACCCTTTGGAATCGACAGATGTCTGGAAGTTATAACCTAGAAACGTGAAGGGCAGAAAACATCTAAAGATTCTGACCAAGGGGACGATTTCACGACACTTCTCAGAGGAGCTAGGCAAACTCAATCGAATCTCTGTTTCTCGTTTTCCATAATGTATGCTCCTAGAGTCGCCACGAAGAATTTAAGCGAATGGATAAATCCGCTGAAGACACTAAATCGGAGCGTGGCCGAGCCACACTTTCAAAGGTGCAGTTCACGATAATAGTGGCTTCTGGGCTTTCCACCTAATAAAAATCTGTAGCCATATATGACGCTGTCGGACCAAAAAATTACCTGAATACGGCGATGTAATGGTTCGTAGTTGTCCTCACTGTATGACACATCCAGATACGGCAGTGTTTCAGCAACCTTGAAGAGGCTGTCTCATTCATGCAGCTGAACAGAAAAAAAAAACTACAATATGTTATCTAGAGACACAGTTCACGGTAATTTCACAGCACAGTCCATTTCATTTTGGAAAGCAGGAGTATTAATTGGGAATAGTGCATCGACGGCGAATTACCAATTTATTAATTACCTGTATTGTCTGTTATCCCGTTGATCATCAATTTACTCGAGATGGCGAACACTAGATGGCGATTTTCTGTCAAACAACAGTTTGTAAGCCTGTGTTTCAGAAAAGTCGTTCACAAAGGTCGCTTGTTACGTACTCGTCGCTTATCTATCGAAATGGGTGAGTGCAGTGAAAGAAGCGTTTTCTGGCATCAACATCAGAGGTGATGTCTAAACCTGCCCGAATTAATAACGAGTTTTGATGTCTGACAAAATATGCCCTATCTTGTATATCCAAAACACCAATCAACAGGCCATCAAAATTCCCTTGGAAATCGTGTCAATGGCCCGTCTCATAGGAGAACTTTGGAAACCACCATCATCCTTGCATGGTGAGTCGTGAGAAATATCGTCGTTCGTTTGCTCTATACCTTTATGAAGGCTACGAGCGTATTGCTCCCTGTCGCATTGCTGATGATGACGTGCCGTTTCATTAGTAGTATTGCTCACGTAGCGCGGTGTTTTTCAGTCACGTAAACACTGATAAGGACCAAATGCGAGTCATCATTGGTGTTTTCTTCATTTTGATCAAAGTGATAACGCGCTCGCGAGCGCAGAGTTATTAAACTGTTGTTCTATGTGATAGCGGTATTCAAACACAAACACAATATGAATTTGATAGATCTTTGCATAGAAAACTGAGATAGAACGAATTTCGATCTGGCTGGTTACAGAAAGAGCCGAAAGTAATATGGAAAAAAGGTCAGTAGTTAGGCAGTAGCCAAGGAATTCTTTCTATTCAATGTCTCATTTATTTGTTCGTACACTTAAATGAGTGCGCCACGAGTACTATAATGTATAAGTAGCAGATGAACCACCCCCCCCCCCCCCCCCCCCTCCCACGGTTCAACGTGAGATTGTAAAGGAAGTGAGGTGACAAAATCATCAATGTATGCTGATCTTCAAAAGCTGTAGTGATAGACAGTACAGTGAGAATGCCCTGATAGCCAGTATGCGCAAGAAGTTAGCCGAAAGACCCTTGGACGAGAACATAGGAGCAGGAAAAAAGAGAGATAAGTCGATCCAATAGATCAAGCATAATATTATACATTCAAGGCAATGAAACCACTGAGAGAAGGCACTCGACATAGCGCGGTTGCCTCTCATCCCACGACAGGTATAGCTGCTACTAATCGGTACCGAATAGAAGCTAGCCGTAAAATACATGTACATGTACAGTACGGCCACGATAATAAAACTAGCTTTATAAGTCTAGTAACTGAGCTACATTCAAGATTCTTGATTTAGCTTCGAACATCTTACCATCCCTCGATTGCAGCACTTCTCGTGGGAGCTTTCCCAAATGAAAGTCAATTCTTAGTTGAATCTTGTTATTCTTTTGCTTCGCACTGAAAAGCCGTTAGACTTAACGCTGGCGGAAAGACCCACTACGTATCAACTTTAAGCTTTTGACTTCTTTGCGAATAATACGGAAGCCAAATGTTAGGTCATTAATTATTCGTCTGCTCTCTAATCTCATCCAACGAAACAACTTTGTACGTTTTTCATAGCTAGGGATCAGTCTGCAATCTGTCCCAGGAAACACCTTGAGGAACGGGACGATTCTCTGAACTTTCTCTAGTTTAGCAATGTCTTTCTTCTGCGCTTGAGAGCAGTAATAGAGCGGAGGGAGGACATATGCCTTGTATTATTATGTCCGAAAAGCTTTAAGAAACTTATGCCCTCAACTATGAATGCGTGTTGCTCACGAGCGCGCTAAAGCAGGATTATAGATAACAGAGAGAGAGCATTATTGGTCGACTTATTCTACAGCTGGTCGGTATTTGATGTCTAGTTGGAAGTAAGTAATCATCGACCGAACGATGTGCGATCGGTAAGACCATCGGAGCCTTGTTCCATTTCCGTTTTATTCCGAAGAAATTACCATGACTCTCAGTGATATCATTAGGCTCACATAGCAATCGTCGAAAGATACATATCGCGAGTCTCTAAAGCAGTCGAGTACATTTTTTCGTTCCTGGGGATACCAGTCAGATACTGAAAAGAATGATTGCAATTGTGGCACGAAGGCCTTTGACTTGTCGATTTTTTTGTCTAATTGTGTTGGTTTTCATTCTGAAGTGGCTGAGAAAGTTTATTGTGGTGTTGTGAAAGGTGACCGAACTGATAGCAGGTTTTGAGCCTGTGCGACCAGAAAAAGGCGTTTAGGATTTATTTTGTAGCTCAAAGTACATTCTCTGAATATATTTTCAGAATAGATATATGTTACTTCAAAATCTTATGCTGTCTTTAGTTGACTTTAGTGTTTTTTCGTTCCTGGGGTATTACCAGTCAGATAGTGTCTTTAGTTAGGTGTGTCGGGTTGACCATGACCAAAAATCCGAATGAGCAGAACATCCAGAGCTCTGTCAGAGCTCCTTGAACAAAACATCTTAAACGCCAAGACTTGATAACTTGGGTCATGGGACCCTCCTAAGTTATGTTCGAATAATTCACAATGCAAACAGTTTTTGCTTTCCCCCA